CAGCAGGAAGCTGTCCAGGTACAGTGTTAGATACGGAAGTTTGAGGAAACAAGAGTGAGAAACTCGGAAACCTACTGAGTGGTACATACGTGGTGTGGTTTGTCCACACACACGTATCCCTTCTTTATTTAACCGACAAACTAATCAGCATTATACCTACCTGTTCAGTTTGCATTATCCCTATCCAGCCACGAATGTCTTGTCTCTACTGCTGTCACTGTGGGCACCTTAATCAAGATGAGCGGCTTTTACTTCCTCGCGTGAATAATTTTGAGGGAACGTCTTGTGCGAGTAAACCGTACTTCAACAGAAATCGGGTGGGAGGCTGAGCTTGCAAGTAACCCTGCCCCTGGTGGCAGGGCAGCTGTGCCAGGTGCTGCTGGGTGTTGGGGATCAAGTATTAAAATTAACCCTCTCTTCTAAACTGATGAATAGTCTCTGAGCAGGTGAGATGCTTCTCTGCAAATTGTTTTTAAAATAGCATCCAAAAACTACAGTAATTTTTACGTAAACTGGAGAAATTCTGTAAGATAAATAGCAGTCTCGAAAACCTTAGAAATCTGCAAGACCTAGGAACCTAAAGAAAATAGCAATTTCTTAATTTTTCCCCTGTACAAACTATATATTTATGCATTTATTTTTCTAATTCTAATAATTTCCATGCTTATAAAATTATTGCTATTCTTTTCTAAATAAAACTAAGCAAAATCCACAGATTATTTCATTTAATTAGGAAAATGGATTAAAAAAAAAAACCCCACACTTATTTTAGAAGTGCTCAATGGAACTAAAACCTTTGGTTTTGCAGTCTTTGCGTACACAAAAGCACACACAGGGTAATCCAAGGGTACAATAACAATTTTTGAGCACATCGTACTGAGAAACTGATTTTGTATTTGAACAAATGAGATCAGATTGTAGAACCTTTACATACTCTGGTGAGGACTTAACAACTAAAAAAGTTGTTTGACATTTTGTTTTTAACAAGAGTGCCAATATAAATAAATGCAAAAGTAAAACAAAGTATGATGCCCTGGACTAGCTGGTTTACTTATTTTTCTTCTTCTCATCTCAGAGTATCCTATCTCCGCATTATTATCAGTATATGTTTTATGCAGGTGAAAGCTTTACATTACTTTGAAGATTATAGCTTTATGCTAATTGCAGCTTCATCACAAAAGTGATGGGTGATAGAACAAGAGGAAATGGGTATAAGCTTAGTCAGGGGAGATTCAGGTTGGATGTTAGGAAGTATTTCTTCTCTGAAAGGGTTGTCAGCCACTGGAATAGGCTGCCCAGGGAGGTGGTTGAGTCCCCATCCCTGGATGTGTTTAAGAATAGGGTGGATGATCTACTTAGGGATATGGTTTAATGGGGATTAGGGACGGTTGGACTCGATGATCTCTAAGGTCTTTTCCAACCTAGAAATCTATGAAATCTATGAAAACTGGTGTGGGGTATTTTTCTCCCTCAAAAACTTAGTGTAATTCAGTAGAAATCATTCCACGGGAAACATGGATTTTTAAGCAACATTTTTAGGGTTTGTGAAAAGCACACAGGACAGGAAAGATTTAATACAATAAGATGTTCCAATCCATTTATGGTCAAGTTGAAGTTTTCCCATCTGAAGCTAGTTTAAAAGAGCTATGTTAATGCTTCAGGATTTGACCTGTTGCATTTTCCTCATTTTCAAATCTGCCAACTAACAAATATTTACATAGTCAAAACCTCTCATGGAATTTTTTTTGAAGCTTTGAACTGCTTTGTATAAACACATGTCAACAGAGATCGACCTAGGTATTTTCTTCCTCCTTCTTTACATCTCCCACGTAAACTGGTTTGTTTCTCAGTTATGAACAGTAGGATAACACTTGCAGGAATGGTAAAAACAAGTTCACAAGACAAATTTCTGAACATATAAACATCCAGCAGGAGACAGACGCTCCCTTCCATCACTCTTTTCGTCTTACAAGGGATTGTTAACAATAATGGTTTTTTCTATTTCTCCTGCCATCCAGTTCTGTGTGGCTGACTTGCTCATGTCTTTGTTAGAGTAGCTCATCAAGAGAGTTACTTCTATTCTACTTTCCTCAATGTGTAAGAGGAAGAAGATATTAATAATGTGACAAAATGAAAATATGCTGCAGAATATTTTGCATTCCTACATATGATTAGACTCAAACATCTGATGTAGCTCAATGAAGACAACCACTGAAACATTTTTCTAAAATTGTAGCCATTTCTTTATGCCCACTCTTCAAAAATAAGCACAGTTTACAGCACATGTGCCACAAGAAATAACCATGAAAAAAAAATTAACAAACGAGAGGGAAGCTAGAATACACACTATAAATTGAGCCCAGACAGTTTACATTTTCAAATCTGTCATCTGTCATTACATGGCCAGAGACCAGACACAGGCAACACCACACTGCATTTACCAAGCTGATCACTTCTTACTGCCCAGCCTCTACTTTGCTTTACCAGGGTAGGTCACAAACTCTGAAGGTCTGGGCTATTAAATTTGCTGACATGGAATCAGTACAGAATAAAACACTATGCTCTACGATAAATTCTTGCTTCTTATTGAATTAAAACCACCTTTATTATGAAGGACTTTGATCCACGCTGTCAAGCAATGTTTCCATCTCTTCCTTTGAAAACAGATACCTTGCTTAAAGGAGTATCCAAAGGCTAGAGCTTCTGATTGACAGGAGATACTAGTACACCAGCAGTTTTTTTCATGTTAATGTAGTAAAAGACTTCTTGATACTGTATAATTGCCCTATAAAACTTCCCTAAGTTTGTTACTCTTCAATTTTCATAGTGATGTCATATATTTTTTGCTGTACAAACAGCATTATCTGCAATACACAAAAGCTGAAGGGGATGCGATTTCACCATATTCGGAAATGCTTCCTCTCTCTTCTAACAGTCAATTCTAGAAGTGGTAAAATCACTCAAAATTAGAAATGTATTCAAGCACAGTGACTGTTCAAATATTGCTCCACAAAGATGCTTAGTGTGTCCAAAAGAATCACAGAGAGTCTAACTACCTCTAGCTATTATTCATCTTCCCATGCTGTAGGGCTGCTCCAGCCCAGCCTCTCATCCTTAAAAATGCAAAAGTGTTAAGCTAGAATCATTACCATTTTCCTGTACTAAGAAACTCAGTGTCTGTTTTTTGAAAAATATAACTTCAAAGATGCTTTACATACATTTGCTACAAAAATCTTCATACATCTGAAGCTCAGGATCTACACTGGCCAAGGATGAAGGTCACGTAAGGTGCTTCCTTAATTAAAAAAAAAAAAAGCTGAAACCATCACTATGTTTGCAAATAAGGTTCCTCACCTTTGTGTTCTAGAAGGCTGGGGTATGCAATTTCCTCAGAATTCTGTGTCAGAGAAGGCATGAGGAAGGCATCAGGAATACAGAAAAGGCAGGACTAGAGGGTCACTGTGGCATGGACTCATCACATTCTGTCACCTCCAAAACAGGGAACAGGAATCTGCTGGATCTACTTAGCCCACAGGATAGAATCACTGAATGATTTGGGTTGGAAGAGACCTTCAAGATCATCTATTTCGAGCCCCGCCCTGCCATGGGCAGGGACACCTGACACTAGACCAGGTTGCTCAAAGCTGCATCCAACCTGGCCTTGAACACTTCCAGGGATGGGGCAGCCACAACTTCTCTGGGATAACCTGTTCCAGTGCCTCACCACCCTCAGAGTGAAGAATTACTTCCTTAGATCTAATTGAAATCTGCTCTGTTTCAGTTTAAAGCCATTGCCCCTTATCCTATCGTTACACGCCCTTGTAAAAAGTCCCTGTCCAGCTTTCTTGTAGACCTCTTTAGATACTGGAAGGATGCTAGAAGATCTCCTCTGGAGCTTTCTCTTCTCCAGGCTGAACAGCCCCAACTCTCTCAGCCTGTCTTCAGAGGAGAGGTGCTCCAGCCCTCAGATCATCTTCGTGGCCCTACTCTGGACTTGCTCCAACAGCTCCATGTCCTTCTTGTGTTGGGGACTCCAGAGCTGAACACAGTATTCCAGGTGGGGTCTCACGAGAGCAGAGTAGAGGGGCAGGACCACCTCCCTTGACCTGCTGGCCACGCTTCTTTTGATGCAGCCCAGGACACGGTTGGCTTTCTGGGCTGCCAGCGCACATTGCCGGCTCATGTTGAGCTTCTCATCCACCAGCACTCCCAAGTCCTTTTCCTCAGGGCTGCTCTCGATCCATTCTCCACCCAGTGTTTACTCGTACTTGAGATTGCCCATAAAGCAGCAGCATTTGTATCAGTCACTAGCGTATGGTTTCACCACAGTGACTTTTTTCTCCCCTCCTGTCAGGCCCCTAGTAATTCAGAGAGTCACCAAGGCCAAGGTTTAGCTGGTAAATGCAATCCATATTTTAATCAGCTTACTTAAACCACTTTTTCAGAGCTCTTATGTTTTTTCTTCTATGGAATTATTTTGAGTGCACTCATAAAATAAAGCACAATCAAGAAACAGCATGTCATATTGCAGGGGTTTATTAATCAGTTTCTCATTATAATAACACTTTTCTATTACGGTGTTTAGCCCTTTGAGGTATGACATGTGGTGGACACTGTTCAGGACACAGTGTGTTATTGGCTCAATAGAAGTGTCATAGTGTACTTTGTCTTCCTACATCTGAAGAGCTGATAACACATTTCCTGAAAAAACAATCGTGAATTATATATTATTTTCAACCTAAGCAACAACAACCTTATTCAGTATGGCCTAGATTCTTCTTTCTCACTGCTCTCAATTAATTCCTTGAAAGCTTACTCCTAAGCTTGGGCTAGAATTATCAGGCTGCATAGGTTTGCAATAAAAATTTTAAAAATTCATGAAAGAAAGCCTATTTTTCCATCGTAAAAGCTAAGCTGTCAGACAGCTGGATTTGTTTTCAGCACCCATCACCTGTTATACACTTAACTTTTTTCTCTCTTTTGATCTCCCTACCTTGACTCCCTATCTACCCAAGAACAATTTAATAGAAATACACTGCTCCTAATCAGCACTCGGCTGACATTTCAGCTGAATTCCAATCCACAGCATTGTTTTATGTTTATTCCTTAGTTCGTCCTCTCAGAACATTTCCTATCAAGCATTTTGTAGGTTTGGTATTACAAGCACAGAAGCTGTCAGATAGCACGAGTGAGTGTCTGTTGCAATGCTGATGAATTTGCTCCTGTGGAATACGGAAAAAATGGAAATGCACAGACACACACAAAAAAAAAAAAAAAAGAAAGGAGAATTTAAGAGCCACAAAACTTAATAATGTTAAAGTACGCTGTTTCCATGGAAGGATATTTATTAATTTGTTTTCACATTCAGCTGTTGATTTCCGCAATGCCAGAGCCTGTGGCACAGAAGTACGGGGAGATCCAATCTCCTGCTTCAGAAGTTTAATTTAAGTGCTGAAATGCCTGAGGTTGGGTCTGGCTCCTGGGAATGCCTGGGCAATCAACTTCCCTGTAGCTAATGGGAAGGGACAAAAGTTTCTGAAATACAGTGCATAGAGCCTGAATGAAATGCCTTCTCCAGGGACTGCAGAGGGTCCCTAAGAACTTCTGCAAACCCATTCGAGCTCTCAACTTAGCTTCTCTAAATAGAAGTCTTAGGATTCAGACTGCTCAGTTCACTTGGAAGGGCTGTCAACTAAGGACAGAAATAGTGGCATTTTTCCTCCCCACAAAACAATCTCATGGTTTAACCATCATTCATAAAACAGAAGAGCTGAGATGGAATTTTACTTAACCGAGAAAATCCAAGTACTTTGAAGGAGAGCATGAAGACATTATAAGTAAGAGCTAGAGGTTCCTATCTAAGCTGTTGCAATGAACTAGAAAAGAGCACCAGATTTAAATAACAGGCCTAAATCACACCAAGAAACACCACAACTGTTAGGAAATACATTCTAAATGTAAGAATAGCAAAGAACTTCAGATGATTTAAGGTAGATTAAGGATTCTTGTTTTAGAACATGCTAAACAAACACCTGTCAGACATACACACAGAGGTACATCCTAACCACAGGGCAGAGGCTCAAGCTAGAAAACCCCTTCAGCCCTGTTTTTCCTACAGTACTTTGATTTATACTACCAAAAAGATAATAAAGTTAATGATGAACTCTTCAGCTCACCATTCTGTGAAGGAATGTGCTGTCTTTTGGTTACACCTCTCAACACTGAATATGCATCTCATTCATGAGCCCTTCATTCAAATCACATAAGCAGCTCCTGAGAAAACAACTTACATACACACCTTTGAAATGGCATCCACTGGATCACGCTATAGAATTTTTCAAGCATTCATGAGAAGCTCTGTGTAGGTCCCATGAGAAATTCTTAGACCAAACGTGCTAAACCCTAGGTCCCGTCAGAATCCAGCAGTCTCAGAAATAAGGAAATCTAAATTGTATTTTTGAATCCTGTCATGGTATTAAGGTCCATAATAACCATAAATGCAGTCTATTATACTTAAGAGCAGGCATTTCCATATTATACAACTCCAAAGAATCCTTTACCTTCCTCTGTAGTATAAAGCTATGATAACAATGGGAACATTTTCCTCCTACAAATGCAAGCAATCTAATTCAGTCTCTCTTTCTAATCAATCTTTATAAAGTTGTTTATAGCAAAGGCAACCAAATTATTTAAACTAGAATTAAATGATTCACCCCAACTTGTTTTTTTTTCCATCTAGTAATACAATTCAGAATTGCCACATTTATGAGCACTTTTCAGCTTGCCATTAGAATTAGACACATTCTTCTGAAGTTGCTGAGTCTATTGCTCAACATATATAACTAACAGTAAAAGGAACATATCATCACCCACATTCACTACCAATAAACTGAAAAATATTTAAACAATTGATCCCATCTCTTTAACTTCATTTCTTCCTCCAGAACTGAGGCATTCAAGAGCAAAAATATTGTACAGAACATATGGGCATCTGTAGCACTGGAAGAAGTGGGTTTGTATTCCTATAGTGTGTTTGAATGAACATATAATACAATCTTTGATGTGATAAAAAAGAAATGTGTTTATGATTAAGTAAACTGCTACACTGGCAAACTTTATAACTGTGTATTGGGTCACTGTACAGTCATTCAGGCTAGTAGATGTATCATGCCACGTACCAGCGCAAGACAGATTTTGAAAGTAGTTACCTCAAATTAGATTGCCCTTCTGTTATCCTCAACAATGGATTAAAAAAATCATAATAGAGAAACATAGAAAATGTTCTAATGCTGCTCCTTTAGTCCAACAGAATTGTTTGAATGACTGCTCAGCACCCAGCGACCTTCAGCTAATGGCTTGGATTAAAGATGGTGGAAGCAAAACATTCAAAGGCTACAGTATTATTTTGAAAGCTTAGCAATGCCAAGTTCAATTATACTTGAAATGTTCACATATAAAAGACAATGCTTTAAAATCAAATATCTGAGGATAAGAAAAATGCGACAAGACAGAGAAAACATTGGTTTCTTTTATATTCTGAAAAATAGTGTAGTATTGAAAAGTAAAGTCCTATCGATATATAATGAGCATACTTAAGAGATGAAACCCCAGTAAGATATCCAGAAACTTCAGTCACTGGGTTTAGATGCTGTGTTTGCCTAAAGTATTTATACATATTCCAACAACTATTCCTTTCTTTTCTTTAACAATATTTTCCCAGTGTACCAGACATGAAAACCCACCCACTCAAATTTCTTGTCTTGTATCTTCCCTTTCTGTTGATCTAAAAATCTATCCTGTATTTCTACATTTCCAATTTGCTTAATGATAGGTTTTATCAAAACAGCTAATTACGTCCTCTGCATGAATAGTCTGAGGTTAAGTTTTTGTCAGATATTGTTTGCAATCGCAATTAATTTGCCACTGAAATTAATGTGAAAATGATATTGTGCCCACCACACACAGCTATAGACCCAAGTTCCCCTGTATTTATACACACTTTAATCATAAGTACTCTGGTTTCCTTGGGTTGATTAAAGGACTAGAAACTTGGGTACCAGAAGGAAAGATAAAATTAGAGTTAATGATCTAATTTGTTCTTCTACTTACACCTCTATAAATCAAGAGTAATTCCACTGACTTGAGTGGAATAACTAGGAACAAGACCTGCTAAATGCTTCTGGATTTTCTCCTGCTAAGACAGACAAAGGAATAGAGTTACTTACGACCTTCTCCAGAGACACCTCCTGATCCAAGGTATCTTACTGGATTTGTTCACACAAGTACCAATCAGCTATACTTCTTTACATACTTGCCAAGGTTTTTAAAAGTAATAGAGAAACCTAAGCACCAAGAGCTGTTCTATGTCTTTGACACAGCCAACCTGAGAAATTTAATGGATCTTCTGAATTATCAGATAAACAGTTTAAGGAATATAAAAACATTTAAGATACTAAACAACTTCTTTGGACAGATCTCTCCAAGGCCTAAGATGGAGACAGTACACAAAACCAAATGCTTACAAAATACTATCTTTGAGGCAAAACGATGATACAAAAGCTTCCAGATCGGTTGGGCTACATTAGACATAGAACTCCAGATGATCAACATGTTCTACTGATAGGCAGATTTACAATGCAGAGATAGTCAGTGAATTACTTTTGCCAGATACTCAGCTTCTTCCCTTTACTGAGTTTGTCAGTACCTCTGGTAAGGATCCATTCCTGTGTTTTTGTGTTATTTAGAAAACTGGGTATACACACTGAACATACAAATCAAGTTCCCCCTTGTTAATATAGCCTAAAAAGAACACTTTCTTCACCTTCTTCGTCTATGTAAATAGAAAAAGCACTAAACAACCTTATATGGAAACTGACAACTTTGAACTTCCTTAGATTACAGAAGGGAAAAACAAATCTATCGATCTGCAACCAAAGATGCTACAGATTACAATGTATTTCATAACTGTCAGTCATGAACCGCAGCAGCAAACCCAACCACAAACAGGATACCTCTCAATAAGCGTTTAGTTCTGCTTCCATAAATCCTCTGTTTATCTCATCACAATTTTGGACTTAACATTCTTCTTTAACAAAGCAAATAACTTAATGGCTCCTACCTGGTATAGCTGGTAAGACTCCAGACTGTAACACTGCTGTTCCCTGAAGAAAACAGAAAATTTTAGAATGAAAATATCCTTAAAGAAACAGAAACTTCACAAAATATAGGAAGAATGGCAGATAAATTACTTCACCATCATAAAACACGTGGTTTTAAAATCCAGAACGACACAAAGGTGTTCAGACCTGAAGGCATTCAGAACTCACATAAGTAACTTGCAAAACCTTTGTGCACCTTAGTAAAGGTGAACTAACTTGCCTTTGAGTGCTTTGCAACAAGTGTAGCAGGCATGGTGAAGCTTAGCATTATTGAATCAGTCCTGAATTAAACAGCAAAAAATAAGAAAATTTTATATGCGGAGGCAGATGATACCAAGTTGGAGTAACAGAATTAATATATGTAAATCAAGGCTACACCTATAATTGTTTAAAATGGTAGGTGCTGCAAACAGACTGAAGCCTGGTGTGCTTCTGACCTAGCTCCATAAAACCGACATATTTTATCCTAGAGCTCACATGGACTTCAGACTGCCTACAAATCCCACCTGTGACATCAGGGTCTTTCTAGGAAAGCTTTGTGCCATTTCAGATGCTTCACATTGTTCACACCGCAGTGGTACAATGGCAGCTGGCGCGCATCAGAGCAGCCAGGCACAGAGTACCAGTGCCCATTGCACACCTAAGAGTAAGCGTGTTCCAAAACATGCATGCAGGCCAGGCTTCTCTCCAGCTATACTATCTAGGTCCTTCAAAGCTGAGCCAGAGGACGCTCTGGCATTTCCATCTCCAGATGGTATCAAGGTTGCTCTTGCATGGCAACGTCAAGGTAGTCTGTGAAGACAGTCTGGTCTGTGCTACTGACCACCACTCTGTCAAAGAGATCTCTTTTATTTGTTTGACTGGCAGAAAAAAGAATTCATCATCACGATTCATTTTTTTCAATAAATAAATGTGTCTTCTGGTCTTTGAAGTGGAAAACACTATATACTTGTTAAAGCTGAGCAGTAAGAGTGCTCAATTCCAAAGCAATAAAATTCCAATTTATACAAGATCTTATGGTAATTTTCTTCACCTAAATACACAAACTTGTGACCTCAGATAACTTTCTGTTTCCAATGCTTTCTTACAAAGTGGTGGCTTTTCAGACGTGCTCAGGACTTTACATATACTTTACATATATCTTCCCCCTATACAGACACTGTGTTGACTTCCTAAAATTTCTCAAGAGAAAATGAAATAGATTATTTATTTATTAGCCATGTAGAAGTTCAAGTTGTACTAATTCCTGCACAACATTTTCTTAAGACAAACATATTAAGATGTAAAGCTCATTACATGTGACCATCATTAAAAACTGCCAGAGCTATCAACTAGATCCAAACTCAGTTGAAGTAGGTGGAAAGGTTTGAGATTTTTTTGTTGTTGTTTTGATGGACCTTGCAATAAACCAGAAAAATATTAGAAAAGAGTATACTGATTCTGTTTCACCCAACAAAATATACATTAAAAGAGCTTAATTGGAACAATTGGGGTAGAACTGTGGTGTAAGTTTTTTTTTTAAAAATACCGTTTTGAAATCTGCAACACAGAACAACTTTCAACAGTGGAATAACACACAACATACAGGATGTTCCTGCCTGATCCTGTTGCAAACATGGAATCTACAGCTTCAGTATTTACTTGAGCTTTTATGCTAGCTGTATATTTTAATATATGAGACACTGAATTTGAGCAACTATTTAGAGTAGAAGTAGAACGGAGGGGGAGGAAATCAGAAACAGGGCCAAGACTTCATTTCTGAAACAGAAAAAGCATCCCACAGCATTTCAGAAAAAGAGCATTTTAATAATTTAACCAAAATGGGTGTTATTTTTTCTATGGTTACTGTGTGCCACCACAGAAGTTGCTGCTTTCAGTCAGGGAACATGGAGAAATATCTGCACAGATGAAGGACAGAAGACTGAGTCCTTTATGAGCAACATTCTGTATATTTAGGTAACAATAGTTTTCCATTATAATAGAATTTCTATGAAATTTCATCGCTATTATTTGTAGCGGACTTGAAAAATGCTTTTTTCCTGCCCCCAGTAGCTTATTAGGGGTTTACTAATACCAAATATAAAAATAAAATATAATTTCCCTGACTTTTGTTATGTCTGTGGATGTAAAGCAGATTATGCTGCCTCTGAAGGTAGCATCTGCTAGTGTACTTAATGGAATAGAAAGTGGCAGACTGCAGTGTTGAAATGCATAAAAATCAAATCTTGCTAATAAAGTATTTCACAACTTTCTGGCAACTTTTTTTGCTTTTAAAAACAAACGGGGCGTTTTTGGTATTTTGTGGGCTATGGGGGCGGAACTGTGTGTTACTTAGTGCACCAAGTCAATTAAAAATTGTTTTAGAAGGGGGAAAAAAACACCTTTATCTTCCTCACCTGTGCTACTAGATTCATGAATCTGCACAGCCTTGCTGTCATTTGGGGCATGGGCTTGATGCATGAAACTACATAGCAAGTCAGAAAAATATTTTTAACTCTCTTTCCATAAATGTATTACACATCAGAATATCCTAAATTATGGCAAAAACATGGATAGAAATAAAGGATGGACAGCAGAAAACCTGAAAGCAGATTGAAAGCTCTTTGAAGAAAAAATGGCATTTTGGCTCTTTGTTTATACATAGTCTCCCAGAGAGGAGTCTTCTTTCATCATTACAGATGTTACAAGCAACAGTAATGCAAAGAAACAAATTAAAAAATGAATATTTTTATAATGATTGGTTTTCTTCTCACCTTAGAGCAAAGTTGTTATTTGCAAAATACCATATGCTCCTACTTGCTAAACAGCTCTGCTCCTCCTGTAAACTGAAGTTATAACTACTTGATTTACTTGCAAATTAAGTTTTGCTGGTTTTCCCTCCTCTCAGTGTTGCACAAATATAGCACTTCTGCAAGAATGAGGATTAAAATATCAGCAATGCTGAACTGTTAGAAACATTCGAGTTGAAGAAACTTTTTTTGGTGACGTGCTGCTTAATGCAAGTTAAAATCAATCAGTGAGGCTTTCTGACCTCTGAATGTGAGTAAGAGTTCAAGTCATCACTTGCCTTTTATCCTGCACATCATATGAGACACGGAAATAACTGAAACCTAAAGAGGGATCAGTTTGTTAACATATGTACAGTTTGTTCAACAATGTAGTCTTATGTCATGCCTGGAACTCCTAGTCATTCTTATAAAACACATTCTAAAAAGTTTTTCATAAAAATGTACGAATTAGATAAGATGAGAAAATTGATAAAGGCTAGACAGATAATATCAAATAAACATACTTTCAAAGTCATTATTAGAAGATTAGATTATACTTGACAAAGAAAGATGCAAAAGGCAAACAGAGGTTAGATGTGTGAAATGACATCAGATGAGGGACACTGATAGAATATAACTGAAATTATAGGGAATAGATTAAATGCAACAAATAACTAAAAGAATCAGATGTGATTAGATAAAAAAATAAGTCTGAGATAATAACAAAAATAAAACCAGTCTTTTGCTATCCAGTGAATTTTCCAGTCTGTGAGATTGTTGCCTTCATTCCCATTTCAATATATCATATTCTATTATTTCTGCAACTCCAAGGCCTCCCGCTGCGATTCTCTGTAAGGCAGAGACTTCACTAACTTACACTAACTTCACTAACTTAAGGCAACTCAGTAGAAAGAAAGGTATCAGAGACTTAAAAGTTCTCTTTTATAATTCTACAAAACTCAAAGAAAATATACTTTTGTCTGTAGGAGAAACTTTTTAAATTATTAAGACATAATGTACAAACGCACAGTTTTCAAACGCAAAAAGTATAATACATACCTCAACCTACCATATCATCACAGCAAAGAAGAAAAGGGGTAAGTGACCTCACTCAAATAATATGCTTCTGCTGTGCCTGCTACGATATTCAGACAATATCTAACAAAGCGAGTATCTAAATCCTGCATATCTCATAATATTACTCATAAATATTAGTTAAATACCTTTCTAATGTAGATTTCTTTATCTGTGACCCAAGAGCTGAGTGCTGAAGTATGTGATGCATGGTGGTTAGTTCAAACAACCTCACCACTGCAAAACACCCCCAGTAAACGGATATGTACCACTTGTATATCACACATCATGAACTACATGTCCAGGGCTATTTTAACGCTGGTAGAGATCTGACTGCTGCCAGATGACATTCATTTTTGATGTTCTGCTTCCAAATATCTTGGGTAGGGTTCAATGAGAGATGTTAGGAGAACCCACTAGTTTGATATGCTGGATCATTATTCCTAGATTAGCTCTGTTGCCCTAAACAGCTAAACAGAACTCAAGCCTTGGCATTTATTTCTGTGTGTGCAAATAACCATCATAGTATATAATCCTTTTTGCAGTCAAAACAGGATAATTCTTTTTTCCCCCCTGTGTATTTGGTATATCTTTGTCTTTCTCCTCCTCCTTTCCTTTTTTTTTTCCTTTTTTCTTCTTTTAAGATTTCATGTTATTTCATACAAATTTTCATTCATTTTAAATTTCATGAAATATATGATTTATGAGAACAATTCTCATTTTAAAAAAATTACCAGACACAAATACTGTCCCATATAAACAGCAGTTTGCCAGATTCATAGTGACAAGAGGCATCACAACTGCCTTGTAAGTTCATCTCCGTGCTGTAAAAAAAGGAGTCATGAGCTTACAAGTCAGATGGACAGAAAAAAATGAAGGAAAATATTGTTTTAAGAATAATCCCTCCCATTGCTGGCTCTAAGGTTGGGAACTCATAGACAGCTGTTCCATATAAAACATGTATTTTCAAAGAACCAAAAAATTTTTGTTTCATATTTTTCCTCCTAAAAAGGAGGAAACCACACTTCCAAGAAAAAGTAGATCAGCTTCTGTAGATTGTAATGCTGAGCTGGGCTCCATCATCACTGGCAAGAGGAATGAAATGCCATTTGCCTGATAACTGTCAACATTTCAGACACACCTCATCAGTCACAGCTTATG